TAAGCATTACTAAGTCTAATCAGTAAAGTCTCTATAAATGAAGGTAACACATGACATGCTTTTCGTTGTTCTACATACTAGTCTGGAAAATAAGATTATGTAACCATACGCTTAGTCAAGCTATTCTTCCCGGTTAAGTTATTTTGTTGACAGCTCTCTCGCTTGAATGTCTTGCCGGCTCATGATATCCTTCATTTAACTGTAACCTTACTTGATAAAGTTGTGTAGATCGTAGTCATAGTTCTTCTGATCGGCTCCTTTATGACCTAGTCTAAGGAAAATGTATGAGATGCATTCTTTCTTGATTATGTTTAAAATTGTCTTAAATTAACCCCTCTAAGTAGCCATTAGTTGGCTGGACTCGTAGAAGCAAGATGCTCTCTGATGTAAGCGTGTTCTTTTTGAAAATCTATATATATATATATGGTCAACGTACGGAAATGTCCCTTAAAAGGCATTCTGAAATTAGCCATATATTTTAGAATAAGATGATATGGTAAAAACCATAATCTAGTAGAGCATCCTACAAAAAAGTAAGAATAAAATGCGAAAATAATAACGAATTAGTACATTTTATGAGATGTATTCAACCTATTTCATTTAAGGTGATAAAGGACTGGTAGTAGAATTTGCCAACAATGATATGAGTAGAGTTGACGTTTCCATGCAATTTCACAGTTTTGCTATCCCAAAGGCTGTGCTCATCCAGGCAGGAGTGGACTGCAGTTTCGACCTCGCATAGCCCTTAACAGCACCCCAGCGGGAGTGAAAACATGACAGTGCACCATGTGAGCTTGACACGTTAACCACTCGGCCACATTGCCACGAATGTCTTTGGGTCACAGAACAGATGTCAATTTCCCATATCACATTCTTTGGGGGAATTGTCGATGAAGCAAAGTTATGTTTGCTATAACAATCGACTATATTACTTATTTTTCGTATATAAGCAGAGTTTCACCTACCAATCCTTCACTAACTTAAACTAAATAGGGCGACTACATATCATATAACTGATTTAGTGATAATCTTGAAACTCTGCTTATATACGAAAAATAGGTCCACTTTAGTTACGTATAAAAGCAAATCCAAATTAGTCTGCTCTGCTCCCGTTTTCGCATAAAAGTAGTGCCATCAACTGTTCCTTTTGTAAAGCGAGATGTGGGTATCGCTACTAAGTCAGATGCTCAAGTTGACGCAGCCTAAATTGACCATCGTTCCAGAGTAAAATTTTGTGTGAATTCGTCTGTTATATGACGGACATCGTCTGAGTTGGAACTTATTATTGCAAAAGCTTCAAGTTAACACTAAGCTAATAAGACTATCCGGCTCCATCCTACATGCTATATATACTCATAATTAAAAATGAGATTATATAGATATATATGGGTATAGTATGATTTAGTTAATCCTTTTTCCTTTAAATCAAATACTTATACTTAAGTGTGTGTGCGTGTATGTTGGCATATGCACGCGCGTAATTCAGAGTGCCTATACAATATTTCTTGTTTCCTCTAAGCAAATATAGTGAACCTCAAAATACAAGTGCAATGTGTTTTAATTCCTCCAATGCGAACTTGCAGAATTTATATGATAATCTTGGTCATGCCTCTGTCCAATGGGCAGCCTAAATTCTGGTTCGCAGAATGTGGATACCATCTAGTTCTTGTAAAACTAGTGTAAAACTACTCTATAGAAGTAATGCGAATTTAGCTATCATCACTGGCTAAATTTCACTATACAAAAAGTTGAAAGATTTGGCATAGGCAAAAGAATTGTCCAAATGGTAAAATTTATACTCGAATATGGCATATAAATAGCTATTCGAGATTGTGCGATTCTAGGAAATATGTTGTAACCTAATAATAGAATGTGACACTGCATTGTCAAAGACAAATTGGAAAAATAATATCAACTTCTTGAGTCGTATTAACAAGGCACTAAAAGAGTTCAGTCTCTTTCAATCGGTACTAACAGCCCAAAATCTGTAAAGAATTGTCGGCAAGTCATGCTTGGAAGCCAAACTGATCGACTTTTACCGACTTGTCCCAATCCTTTCTCACCATTTTTGGTATAAGCGGAGAAAGACGGAATAGGAATTTAGTAATCTTAGCTTGCTTACGATTATTTAAGGAGTGATAGTTGAGTTCCCCCACAACCAGATGAGTAAGCCTAAAGATGTTAAGGAATTTTACTTATCCTTTCCTTACCTAGTGTGATTCGAGATCGGGTCTTGAGTATCGTGGCGGCGTTGTCGCTTCACGACACAGCTACATGTAACAATGGGCCATGGGTCTGCATTGACATTTAAGGAAGGTTAGAGCATATCCAAATCACATTTCTATTGCGATTGTCTATTGAGCAAACACGTGTTTGCCGTGATGCTTTACAAAGTTACCTCCTTCAGATGTGAGTAGTTTTCGAAACTACCAGTAGTGCTCGAATAAGAAGTTAATCACCCAGTGGATCTACCTGACTAATTACGCCAATCCAATTATAAATTGACGTGCGCACACATGCACACAGAGTGAACAACTTAATCAAGCAAGAAGACTGAAATGAGACGACGAAGAATACTACATCGCTTGAGATTGATGAGAATGTTTGTTTCCTTATGCTTTTCCATTAGACGAATTTTACCGTTTCCGCTCGCGTTTCTAATTCCTTCTGTGCTAAACAAACTTCTCTGTGGTTCCATCTCCTTTCTCAAATCAAGTTAGACATCCTTACGCATTATAGCACTTACAAAAATGTACTTTAGAGTTACATTAGTAAAGCTGGTGGGCCCAAGTTCTAAAATGAGTCCTCCCATGTTGTACGAGCTAGGGGACCAATGTGAGCGTATAAAAGAAACAGAATAAAAAAAAGCTTGTATAGGTCTGAACAGGTCACAAACGAGAGCTGAGAGCTTCAAGGATGCCGCTTCAAGCCAGCATGCAATGAAGGAGAAAGATAAGGGGAGTGAAGCTCGGAGCGTAGAGTAGCAGAAGCTGGAGCCATGTGATTGAGAGCCCTTGCTCAATTGAACTGGTTGCATGGTGTGCATGTGTTTGTGTGTATGTGTGAATGTGTGAACTTCTGATAGGCTCTTGAATGATGGTGTGAATTAACGTAAGCACGATTCAAACGGGAAGCTCGTATGAGTCATGGTAGAAGCGGTCTTTTCATAGCCTGGGCTGACAAAATGGCTCATTCAGTCACCCTTGTTGCTCTGATAACTTTTTTTGTGAAGACCTTAATTTGGTGTGAAATGGCATGATGTAAAGCTTGGTTGTTTTATATCAGCGGCTGAGCTTCTACTCTGACTAGCCAATTTTCACGCGAAATGAGGGAGGATGTCTCGTGGACTCAGCCGAGAAACAGCCGTCGTCTCCCGATTAGACCATCCGAGTTTCATACATGAAAGCTTCACAATAATGTTATCTCAAGAGAATCATTTAAACCAAGCTACCTTTTATATCGAATAACCTTTACTCTTACGGGGCGATGCCAGTTTTTATCCTGGTCGATTTAGTATTATATAGTAGGAAGTGAATAAACAGACGAGCATTTAACTGTGCCTATTATACATAATATTGTTTACGATCACCAAATACACAATAGACTTGTCATAAGTTGACTTGCATTTCATCATTTATTTCGTCAGCCAATGGGAACAACCTACGAAGGATAGGGAAAAGAGCGAGAAAGAGCAAGAAGAGCAATAAAGAGATCTACCATAAGCACAAACAAGCAATCTTCATCATGCCAGATATAGGCCTCCAACTCACCCTCGGAGGTATGAATAGGTCATGAGCTCATTTCATACACAAGATTCTAGTTTACCCTTGCAGGCCTCTCTAACAGAGCAAGAGGCGGCATTTGTTTGGGTCTGCAGGCGATTGGCACATTTTAAACGCAGCAGCCCGTATCAGCCAGATATTCCGTGATGGCTTGTTTTAAGCTTAAAATTGCTTTAGCTAAAAGAATAATTTACATCGATAAAATTTGACTACTAGTAAAATAAAGTAGTATCTTCCTGAAAGATTAAGGAAAATCGGTCACGTACGCGCATTTGCCAGACTAAATGGTCCAAATGCTACTACTATCTACTATCAAAAAAAGTTCCAGCTCTAATTGATCATACTGAATGTGTCCCCTAGTGCATGAAGAGTGTATAAGCATAAGTAGAATCAAGGTAAGCTGTCATATATGAGGAAAGATAAGTGGGTCGGAGAGAAAAATGCAGAAGAATAGAAAATTGAGCAGTCAGCAAGGAGATTGAACGTACCGCATTACTCTAAGATTCCACATGACCACATATACAATTAATTTGACATATCACATGAAAAGAAGCAAGCTCATACAGATGGGATAACGCTCAAGAGTGTTGATGACAAGCTAGCTAGGGAATAATGAAGATCAGTCTAAATTATATTATATACAAATAATTATAGTTGGAAAGCACAATTTTGATTATTCCCACAAGGCGTAATCTGTTGTTGCAAATTCGACAAGAGTCTTTCCCCAGTTAATTACAGGAGCTTGCCTATTAAAGTGTAAACAAAATAGGCCTAACTACATCAGCATGATGATCTGCCAACCTATCTATGGGATGGAGGGGAAACGTTTGTTTTCAGGGCAAAATAGGTGCGAAAAATAGGGAAAGAATGATAAAATATCAGACTTTCCGTCGTCTCTCAGAGGCAAGAGTGAATAACATGCGCGACGAGCTGCCTGCGGGCCGTCACATTTGTCAACCTGATTGTTGTCGCGGTCTCACAGTATTGCAGCGGTACAGCGTGCGTTGGTTATCCGCGAGGAAAGCTAAAGACACGACCATGAGATGAGAGCAAACTGGTAGTTCATCTTCGGCTTAACGGATATTTGTTGTTTCTCTGAAGAGCTTGCGCGTCAGAGGTTAGTTAGCGAAAAGTGTAGAAGCACCGAGTCTTGTCTAACCTCCCGAAAGTGGACTCTCAGCTGGCAGTGGACAGACTTGGCAGTCTTGGCGACGCGCCTCAGATATAGTGTATCCAGGAGCCGTCGCCGCCCATGTCTGTGTGCTTGGCATAGCAGGTGACCACGTAGTTCTGTCCGTAGTTGTTGTCCCAGAACAGCAGTCCCGTGTGCGTTTCGTAGCGAATGGCGAACTGCGCCTGCTCGCCGGCCACCATGCAGACCGGGAAGACGATGCTGAACGAGAAGCGGTCCGTCATGCCGTCGTGCGAGCCCTGCACGTAGGCGGCCGACGTCTCCGAGTGCGTCTGCCAGTTGTTGAAGGTGATGCGAATGAAGATGTGCTTCTCGAAGCCGAACGACTTGACGCGCACCGTGCCCGTGAGCATGTTGCGCGTCTGGTCGATGTCGGCCGACTCCAGACTGACGGTCTGTGCGAGCACGCGAGTCATGAAGCTGGGCGAAGCGCCCGGCTGCGCGAAGCAGAGGCGATAGTGCTTGGCGCCGATGCTGGAGAGGGAGAGATCGCTGTCCAGTCGCAGGTCCTGCATCGCCGAGGCGGGGATCTTGGGCGGCGCGTCGTGGTCGAACACCGTCTTCACGGTGGTCAGGTCGAGGCCGAAGACGTCGGCGAACCGGACCGCCTTGCGGGCCGGCGTGTCGGGCGGCGTGCGCGCCGACTTGAGCGAGCTGCTCCGCTTCGGCTTGTAGTATTGGTACTCGTTGTCCGGCTCCGCCTTGCCGACCAACTCGACGGCCTCCAGCCCGTCGGCCGGCAGATGAGTC